CGGACACAGACGAATGGGGGTGGTAGCGATGTGCTGGGAACAGGGTGGAAACAGGGTGGAAACGATGAGAATGGGTAGAGAGTTTTTGTTAAGCCATCGAGAGTTTGAGTTAATTCGCTTGGCGCCGAGACGAACGCATTACACGCTACGGGACTATGCTTAATTAGCCTGCCATCGAGCGCGTGATTTAATGCCGCGTCCCTATCAGGAAACGTTTCGATTGCGCGCCGTGTTCTTTGAACCATTGAAGGCCTGTTTCTCTAATTACCGGGGCCGATACCGCTGCGAAATAAATTCTTTGTGCTACGCGGTAAAGCAGCCTCAATGTTTGTTCTTCTTTCGTTTGATGGATAGAAAATCATGATAGGCCGATATATCGAATGTATGATACACCGTCGTTTAAAATTATTTTAATCAGCATTTTAATCATAAACGTACGAATAAATGGCACTGCATTGATTTTATTATTTATAATCATCACCTAGGTAGCATAGAATTTTATAATACGATTAAACCGATTCTTGAAAAGCAATATATACTAATAAAACTGGCGTTTCATGATTGTCAAACTTGACAGAAAGTTTATGAATATGTTATTCCAGGGTTTGAACTCGGTCACGTAAATTTATGCTAACTTTTAGATTCTGTATAAATTTGGATACGTATTAACATTAATGGCAGTAAATATCTCATTATTAATATTAATATTTACATTATTAATATTAATACTATTGATAATATTATTCCATATGACTGAGTTAAATTACGCGTGAAATATATAGCGACCACTTCATTATAACAGCGAAGGAAAAATTAAATCGGGTCTCGATTTAAGGAAACAATTTGCACGATGTTTCAATGTAAATGGTCTGATCGATCCTCTCAAGAGGAAAGAGCGAAGTTTAATGCAGAAATATCGTATTTGCGTTCGCTGAAATGAATTTCGAAGGCTGATCAATCAACTTTATTCTCCCAAAAGTTTGTCTCGAGGCTCAATCTTCAATTACCCGCCGATTTCTGAACGAAGGGGTGAAATTATGATATTCCGAACGAATCAGATTTTACATCCATCGATAATCTAATTTTCACCAACCCCTTATCAATCTCGTCAATTTCATCTTCTGTCCACTCACCAGCTCCAGTTCCACAAAAATATCATCGTTCTAAAGATATTTGTCGAATAAAAAAGTGCTATATGATAAGCAAATTGTTCAACTCACGACGCCTATGCTATCTGAAAATCCTTTATCAATCTCATCAATTTCTTCTCCGAAATACCTTCCTACTTTTGATCTTCAGTTTGGTAGAAAAAGAATTCTAATGATTTCCTAATGAAAAATCATATAACAAGCAATTTTCCAAATCACGAAACCTATTCTACTTGGAACAGATTGATAAAGCGCTCAATTATCACGGAATCTGATTATCGCGGTAGCCAGACTCGTTTTCACGGCGGAAAAGCGCGAGAAGGGAAACCAAACTGAAAGGAAGAGGCCAGAGGGAGAAAGTATAGAAAGAAAAAAGATCGTGGAACCCCCTAGTCTGAAGTATTCACGCGACTGCCTCGTCGTGAGGTCAGAATCCACGCTCCGTGATAAAAGACGCGTGTGGAGCTGTCGGTGGTTACCGCAGGGGTTGCTAATACTCTGGAAATCTGCACCCTCGCGTCATATTCGAAATCTCCCGGTATCGGGGGGAGACCTCTTCGAAATTCCGTGTCGACATCCGCTTGATTACATGCGTCTCTCTTCCGATTCATTTCCGAGCAGGGACCGCGTCGTCGCTTGAGAATTTCTTTCCTCGTGCCGTTCGGGATCTTCGCCTTTCCGAATGGGATTCCGAATGATTTCGCTTAAACGATCCCTCTTCACGGAGATCGATCTCTAGCCGTGCAAATTGCCGGTGAATTTCATCTGGAGAAGAACACTCATCAGACGTTCTTTTTATTTTCTTGATAATTACAGTGGCTCACGAAAATACTTTAACACTCCTAGAAACCTTCTATGAATATAAAAAGTTTCGTAGCATTGATAGTTCAGACGAGGTAGAGACAATTCTACGGAAAAAAAATCAGTCGAATTTTAAAAATTTGTTTAACATATGTAACTTACTAAGTAGTTATTAACTGGATGGGGACAATCAGCAAGAGATTATTTTACGCGCGGAAAAAATAAAAGATGTGAGAAATGTATTGTCTGCATCAACAAATAACACAATTGGCAATTTTATTAAAAATTTTCTAAGTAGGTGTTCAAATACTTTCGTGAGCTAATGTACGTAAATTTCTGGCCTCCATCTTCGAGAACGAAATCAACCCCTCGAGATACAAATTTTTCTTTCAAATGGTTACAGTGGAACGAATGATGAAAGATTGAGAAATAGCTCTTCGAAATAAGTTTCCTGGAATAATTGGTGGCAAACAGAAAAGAAGCAAACAGGGTAATCTCGATCTTCCAAAGTACGGATTTTAATCTGCTTCTGATTTCAAAAGAGAACGGTTTGAAATAAAATTACCTGGCGTGCAAAGTGCTCGGTAGGAAGTTGGGTAAAAATATTCAATAATTAATTTCATACCGCTGAATTCTTATTCCAATTGCAACGAGAGATGTTAGCGTGGCAGAGAAACCTTGGAGTTATATACTCGATGTCGAGTGGGGCCTTTGCTTGTGAACCGCTGTGTAATTACGGAGAACGACCGAGAATAACAATTAACACCGTAACGAGTGAGGGTAGCCTCCCCCCGTCAAGCAAAGCTATTCGGACAAGGACCAGGAAACAGAATGGAACTCCAGTTTCTGATGGAGGTTATAAGCTCCAAGGTCGTTTGAATTTCCATACGGTACACAGGCTGGGCTGCGAATTCCGAAAGGAAATTAATTAGTTTCACCTATTTCTACTAGCGCGAGAGGTGCTTCTATAAAATATTTTCATAATTTTCTGATAAAGTAGGTCGATGATATACGAGAGATAGCGAAATAAAATGTTTCGTTTCTAAAATAAAATAAAACTGAGATTACCGTGCAGTTTAAATTACAAAATAAATTTACAAAAAGGATATTGTAAAAATGTCTATCTTGCATTCATCTAAAATAACACTTTCGCGTCTTAAGATAGAAGAGTAAACCGATAAAAGCGAAAACGGTCCAAGATTTTTGGACAACTTTAACAAGTTCAAATCGGATTCGCGGCGCGTTCGCAATTATTACGATTCCTGGAGCAAAGCGGAAAGGATTAAAGTGGAGGGTGCGACTTAAGACTGGAGCTTTCTCGGTTGCTTAACGCATTGGTATTCGGCTGCAGTGCCCGTCTAATACCTCGCTTTTGTCTCAACAGGGGTGAATGGAGAGGGCAAGCCATTTTCCTCAAGGAGGACGTAACGTGAGACCGGATCAGTCTTTTCTCCTTCTTTCTTCTTTTTTTCTACTCTCCATTTTAGCGGAAAGTCCTGCACCAAAGAGTTTCACTAGTACGGAAAGATAAAACGAGATGGAGGATGATTGCTCGTTGCATCGCATTCCGAAATCTGGGCCAAACGGATTTAAGTGAAAGTTACAAAGATCTTATCCAAAATTTTTATAGTAGAAATCTTTCCGAAAGCAATTTGTTAAAGCCAGTAAGAGAGATATTTTTTCTGAGGATTTAGAAAATCTTCTCGTCTTGAAGACTTTACACGCTATCGATAGAAAATTTAGGATAGTAGTACGACAAAGAAGGTGAAGGTATAACTCTAAATACTTGTTATTTCCTATGTTTCGTAACGAAACAATTCAACAATTTCCCAAAAGAGTATAAAGAGTATATCGTTCTCGATCGATAAGATTTGAAAGAGCTTACGTTTGATAAGGTACATGCACCCTGACCCATTTTCCTGTTGAAGCAAAACGTTGAGAACATTTTATTCCAGCTCTTCGGACGTTCATGTCATTACAATTAAATCCAGAGTGTCCACTTTTGTGTCGCAGAGACACAACCTGATCTTGAGAGAACAAAAGGAGACGATCCCCTCTACAGTAGCCATAAAACAACCATAACACTGTTATACACCGCGTTCCTATCCGTGCTGCCTCTTGTTCAAGCTTTTCTTCCCTTTTTCTTGTCCTTTTTTCCGCGCTGCGGCAGTCAGTTACGAACCAAACAACCCTCGTATTTATGAGGGATCCTCCAACGGAGAAAGCAGGGTACACACCGGCCAATTTCCACCGATCTACTCTCCAACTACTCATACCAGTCCTGCCGTGCTGTGTTCTTCGCAGCACAGCCCAAATTTTTCTGCTCCATAGGTTTTAACGAGGAGTTTTCGTGGGAAATGATCGTACTTTATTGATAACCCGAGTATCTCTAACAGGGTTTTTATTCGCCCACCCTTTTGACCGGCTCCTCTACGAGCTGGACTTCCGTTCGGCCTTTTTGTTACTGGCTTGAAAGGATACTGGCATATATCACGGAGGGGAACGTTAACGAAGTTTTTACGATCTCTTAATATTGTAACCTCAGTCGATGCATTATTTTTTGCTTGAATGGAAAGCGGTAATAACACTCGTAGGATTATCAAACAATGCTTCACAGGTATAATTATTATGAAGTTTAATAATTAAAGGAAGCAAACGTGTTATCGATCGACTAGTGCAAATAAAACGTAGAAGGTTAAACAGTGATCTATTTTAATTTCATATATGTAGTTGTCTAGAGAATATTGATATTAATGCACGCGCAAAGAGAAAGAAATTAAAATATAATCGAAAGTCGACGGAAGGAAAAACATGTGGCGATTGTTAAATAATTCACAGGAGAAATTAAAACGCTGCCGTCCCGAGCGAATCGATAAAACTTCCATACGATTAAGACTCGATATATCTCGCCACGCGGACCCTTTTAATTAAAGAGAAAGTACCGAACCGTTGAGTTATCGCGGTGAGGGGAAACAAAGAAAAGATAGGAAATCGCGATACACCTGCTGTTCAGCTGGCTATATTTACCCTGTGTGTTTCGTTATTTTCCAGGAGCCGCAGCCGCATCCCGTGTCTACGTGGACGCATTGTCTCGATTAGCACGCCAAGCGCAACTGGGTACATGGGGCGGTTCCAAGGATGTCGGTAAGTTTCGCAATCTTCTTATTATCGTCGTGCCGAAACTTCTTCTCGCCGGTTTCTCGCCAGTTTCTCGTCGGCAACGTGTCCCAATGGAGATAGGAAAACGTGAGATTCGCAAAAAATGACAATCACGCATATAAGGCGCGCGCGCGTGTGTGTGTGTGTACACGCGTGTCCACGAAACACACGGAGATTCGTCGTTCACCGTAATTACGGCGAATTAATTAAAATTTGTCACGTAATTATCGACGAATGAACGGGAGCTCTGGTCGATCCTTAAACAACAGCTGCGTCGACGAAGGTTAATTAATTAGTGTTCCACGCATCATTAGACGGGCAAATAAATCGTTGTATCGCGGCGCAGCTGTTGGCGGAAAATTTGTTTGTCTCGATCGTTACGTTTTGTTCCAACGCTTTGCCAGATACGTTAAATTTAAAACCGGAGTTTTATTTGTCCCAGCGATCCGATCCTCACACCATCGACTTTGTCTTCGTTTCGATGCGCCTCTTAATTACCAGATTGCCCGCGTTCCATGATAATTATTTCAATTACGCCGACGCAGCCAGGGATATTTATAGCAAACTAATAGAGGGTCGGTCGCAATTAAAATCGGCCGTTCGCCGATTGATATACATCCGCCGCGTTTTTAATTGTTTTTCAGTGATTTTAATGGCCAGCAAACACTCCCGCCTGACTCGCGCGCACGATTCCCAGTTAATAAGAATTTTAATTCGAATCGATTTGTTTCGTTCGTTGTCGTTACGAACTTCTCCACTCGAGTGTTAATTATTAAGGGCAAACCAAAAAGTCGTTCCCTACGGGACATACATACATATTGCGGAATGCACATGGACGCACAAAGGCATTGAGTCCTTGCGGTACAGAAACGCGAAATGTATTCCCTGACAACGTATTAATACTTCCAATGCGATAATTCTACCGCGATTGATGGGCTAATCTACACTATGTAGCCGCGTTAAAATTAACGTGTAGTAATACAACAAGGAATATGTTGTAACATAGTTGCAAAGTAATCGCATAATAATAGAATAATTATTCACGCGGATGTTCCGATATCGTTACACGGATCAGGCTGATAATTTTACAAACACCTGTATTAAAATTCACGAGCAATAATATCCGTGAAACTATCACTAATCCTCCAAAAGCGCTTCGAGGGAGGCATCAAATTTCCTGCAACTGTCAATACTGTGTGTGTGTCGAATTTCCCTCCAAAACATGTATAATTTTACGATAACCAAGTATTATACACTGACCATCTGTTTAAACGTGTTTTCTGGTAACTACGCTCTACCACTGTCAGATGCAGAATGTTGTAACATAATACGTAATTCGTGTTTAAAATTAATAAATTTTCACTCCAAAAGTTTGTAATTAAATCTAAAGATTGAAACTACACGTCATTGCAGATAAAATGGTGCTTTGTTAAATTATAATCAGAATGTTTTGTTACGGGTGTCGCTCGATATTACAAGCCAAAGGGTTGATTTAGTAAATTTATAAGCACGTAGATGACGAGACTTCCTTGTTCCTATGTTTCTAACATAAATTAACACTGGCGACGAGTTGGTCTATTTCAAAGGGCGACCCTTTCGCGGAATGAGCGCGACTCGCGCTTTTTCTCGTTCGCTTTCAACAAAGTTTGGCCCGTCGCGTCGGCGCGAGATACGCCGGACCAGCACTCCCGTGGTTTCCAAAGCCAATAAAGTTTCACCCGTTTAACCGTCTGTCTCACCCTGTCTGTCTTATAGACAGGGAGACGAAGGGAGAACGGTGGAAGAGGGTGGAAAAAAGTTGCTAACAGGATCATTGCAGCGTGATAAGTGTACGTATTAAGGGCTGGGTCGATAACCTTCGTGGCCGGACTGGTGAGATTCGAAATAAGAAACGAACGCGCGAGACCGAGGCAACAGCCTTAAGAAGCTGTCCAAGTGCGACCCAAGTTTTATTTGTTTTTCAACCGGAAAGAGAAATCCCATCCGATTCGAAACGAATTGCCCGTTTGGTGTCCGCTTGATATTTTCCGCGCACCGATCGCGTTTTCGCCTTTGGAATCTTTAGTAAGAGATACTTCTGCGGATGCAGTATAATTTTCTCCTTGGAATACGTTGATGGAAATTTGAAATTTACATTTCTATTATTAACGTTACTTTAGAAAACAACCATCTGTAATTTAAATGTAATTTAAAGATTGGTTACGGATCTTAGAAGCTTGTATCATATTTCTATCAGACTAATTAACGATACGAGTATAAGTGTATCGTGTAATAATTATAGAGCGCGTATCAATTAACTATCGATACTAACTAACTTCTAACGAGGCAAACTTTAGCATCAGGATGATAGACCTCGTGTTCGAGTAATATTGCTTATATCCCCCCGAGTCTTAAACGACATCGCTAGAGAATCATCAAATATTCATATCGACATCGAAGAAAAACCAATTTTAAACATTTGCATTTTCTACTAACAAGGCTGCATCCGCAGATGTATTATTTTTATTCATATTTTTGAATAAAATAAGGAATAATATATTTCTTATATTCGTGTTTACTAGAAATGTTCTCTGTATTATATGGTCATTTATATCCAAATATAATGCGGTAATTAAACTAATAAGGATTTCACGGACGCAATACTGTTTTGAAAGATAATACAAAACGAACACGCCTACATTGTATCATCCTAGTGGATACTGGCTAAAGTTAACTGCAATCAGTGGTTGGCTAGAATATCCGAGCCTTGGATAACCCCTGTTAACTGCATACGCGACGCCCTCGGGCACCTTCCAATTTAAACTCTGCCTTGTATGTGCTACCACGAAATAGGGTTACCGTATTATTATTTGTCGTTCCAAGTGCTCACGAATAAGACTAAAACAGATGAATTGTCGTTCTATCAGGTTTCATTCCAATTTTACACGACGAAAATACTCTTCTTCTAATTCAATGCAGTTTAATTTAAATTCTACTCGTATCTTTCCTTTTTTCTATTATTTCTTCCCAATAGCATTTTCGGATCGTAACTTTAATCTTCGATAACTAATTCTAAGAACAATCTACACGATTCGATTAAACTACGTAATGAAGATGAAATATTCGAAAGTAAAGGATAGGAGTCGTGGGAAATTCCTGGAAAATTGACCGTTATCAGAGAAGTGTCGCGCTCGGAAGACACTTGGAGTTTCTTACAACAATCGATGGGTAGCGGACTGGAATATCTTATTACCTCCATTTGGCTGTCTGGCAGTTTTCCAGTGTTACGCCAATTTGCACTCGTTAAAGAGATGCCTTTGAAACTTTCCGCACAGGCAATGTTGACTAAACGTTCTCTCCTTTGCAGAACTCAATTTTCATTCGACGCGCCTAACTTTATGACAGGATACTGCATGCTTTATTCCCGGCCTAGCGTTTCTTATTAAATTCTGCTGTGACGAATGATATAGCATTCGTCTTGCTTCACCGACGTTCCCACTTCATTTCGACGCAAAATAAGAAACGCGTCTACATTTACTAATAAATCATAGTCCAATGTATCAACCTGTGTTTAATTTGTGTCTCGATTCTTCGATTGTTATATGGAAATTTTTTGATGGTCTAATCGGCCTGTTTCTTATTCGAAATAAAAAATGTGTTGGAATACCAACGACCCGCGGATGCGCTTGTTTCGATCGAAAACAAAGTTTCGAATCGTCGTAACATAGTTCACCAGAAGCGGATTGAGAAACAATAACATATCTTATTGTCTCTGTAAGCATTTTTCGATATTCAATTTCAGAAACGTTCGCGTGGTCGCCATCCCTAAGTTGTTAGAATAGCCGCCGACAATTTTTTGTCAGAATTTGTATCTATTACTAGTGGGACATACAAATTCTAGAAATCAATTCCGATAGAACGTACACGAACCTTTCTCTGAATTTTCCATACCGATGGGAAAATATTTCTTTTCCAGTATTTTTTGCATCCGTTAGTTATTAAAACCGTGTACAATATTTTTTCGAATTTTCTGTACCAACGCAAAAATAGTTCTTTTCCAATATTTTTTTGCATCCACTAGTTTGACCTCCAAACTACATTATACTAAAAATTTGCTTGGGATATCGTGCAAATAATCGAGAAGCGAAAGTGTGAAACAACAGATAAAGTACGATTCTCGTAGCGATAGAAAAGATTTGGATGCGCGTGTTTCAATCTCAACCGCAGTAACCTAAAGGAATTGCAAAAATTCTATCGAGTTTTAAACAGCGAGGAGGAAATCGCTCGAAATAATAGATAGTTTATCGACTGGCTTGGAAAATTGATTAGTCGAACGTTGGGAGTTGGCTTTCGCTGTTATTGCGAAACATTCTCAAAGAGATCGTTTCAGGTTGCATCGACAGTTTACTCGTCGAGAAACATTTCCTGAATAGGGCAGGGATTTCCTTTGCCGCTGCGACGAACCTTTCCAACTTGCTCACCGAGGAATCCGGCGACTCAAGTTTAAATCGACGGACTTTTGTCAACTGCGAAACGACACACGCCGGTAGAGAGACAAACTCGTTCAATTTAGACATGCGATTCTCTCGTTTCCAGCATCGTCCAAACTAAATTAAACTTTTAATTATTCGAACAGAATCGAGAAAAGAACAAGCTGTCACTCTTTCCATTTTCATTACGCGACACGTAAATTCTCGTTGCTTTCGTTTTCTTTTCTTCAAATTGTTCCTCGTGAATGGGACGGGAGTGTGTATGAATAGAACATCGATGCGATGTCAAGGTACTTACGATCATTAAGCGGATCTTAGGTTAGACGCATTCACTAGTGCAAAAGGAATTGGATATTGAAAGCTTATATTGACTTGTTGGGAAGTTCGTAGAGTTTCTGGAAATCGATAATTGAATGTTGCTATGTATCTGATGAAACCGAAGGAGAATTATTTACTATGAACTCGCGAGATAAGGTGAAACGCTGAATTTGAATAAATATCTTTTTCAGTTGAATA